GTAATATATTTACTGAGAAAAATGGTGACGTGTTCAATACTTATTTTACCCACTGTATGTAGGGCCCTATGATTTCCACAATGCAGACGGGATCACAAAACTGACATAAAATGGAATCCTGTGTAAAACGCAGAATCTCACAGAATTTGCTCATTTGAGGTATTTGATGTATTTTGGACGCTGCTGCTTCCTGCACCTGCCTTTACCTGGTTTATTTATTTACTTATTCACTTTCAAAGCAACATTTTTATATTTATGTTTGAGTTGAGCTGAAAAGAATAAAATGCCTGAGAATTCAACATTCTAGGCGGTTAAATAAATAATTTTAATTTAATAATCAGTTGTTGTACATTATAGTTTTGGAGAATCATCATGCTTGCCTGAAGGATAAAATGGCTCAGGGGAAACACAAGTCTAAAAAGGTTGGGGAACCACTGTTTTAGGTCATTAATTAAAGCTTACTAAGGCTTTTAATATTAGAATTTTTTTGTATATTTATTTAATCTTAAATTTTTAGATATTTTAACTGATTTGATATACATTTTGTGTTTCATGTTCTTTCATGTTCTGATTTCTGAATGTAAAGCACTTTGCAACATTTGTTTTAAAAGGCCTGAAACGTGATTTTTTTTTTTTTGTAAAAGTGTGTCACTATTTCATTTAAATGGGAGAAAACTCAAAAATAAAACAGACGTAAGCACAGTTTCCATAGTTTAGGTGCTTTATTGGTTCAACTGAGTTTCTGTTACAGGAAACATGTTCTGAAATACAGCTGGAACATCTGTTCTAAGAGCCTAAAGCAGGACTGTAGCACTAGCAGCTGGGCTTTTTTTTATTTAATTTTTTCTTGTGGAAAGAGGCAACTGAAAGAAAATACAAATTGGCACAGAGCAGCACACAAGGCAGATTTTCATTATTAATAAAAAGTCTCAAATGCTTTAAAGTGGACATATGACTTTAAATCATCCTTTTTCACTTTACAAATCGTTCAGTTGGCGTCTATTTAAAGTGGATCAACTCATTTTGAGGCTGTCTCTTATGACCCAAACATCTACGCAGCACCAGGAGAGGACTAAATTCAACTTTTCTGCACACTTAGAAACTCCAAGTACACAACAAAATACATTTAACGGCTTTAAAAAAAAAAAAAAGGTGGATTTTTCATTATATGTCCCCTTTAAAGCTAAATAAAACTTGTAAAAATGTTCATTAAACAATCCTCAGACTGGGACACCTCCAGACACAGTAAGACACTTAAAGCGGTCTGTGAAATGTAAACTAACAAAACTAAAATACAAAAAATAATGCAGCAACATGCAGGCTGTACTTCTACTAAACAAAAAACATCTTAAAGTAAATTACCATTTTTTTTTCTAACACTGAAAGCAACTTTTAACAACTGAAAACATTCAAAACGCAGCAACTTTGGCCTTCGATGCTTGATTTGGATTCAGAGAAAGTAAAACTTTTACTGGTGCGTTTGTTATTTTTTAGGCTTGAATCCTTTTTCTTTCTCGAACTGTGCGATCTGGTTAAAAATATCCAGCAGGTTAGGCGGGAGGTTTTTCTTAGAGCCTCCGTCGCTCTGTCCGTTATAACTCCCAGCACCGTCTGATGTGTTATTTTGTCCTGGATCTGATGTCCTGCTCTCCTCCTCCTCAGCTCCTCTCTTTTTACTCTCCCTCTGCGCCTCGTCGGCCTCCTGCCTGTCTCTGCTCTCGTACCTGCCCGAGTCCAGGGAGCTTCTCGTGGATGAATCGTGTCTCGTTCTGGTTTCGGGACGTCTGGAATATTCGGAGTGGAAACTAGATCTCCGGTAGAGCTCCAGCTCAGCTGACGAGCTGGATAGTYTCCGTGTTCTATTCTCCTCTAAGCTGAACCTCCTCTTTGAGTCGCTGTCTCTCCTGCACTTCCTGTCCTCGTCTCTCCTCCTTTCTTTGCTCTCATCCCTTCTTTCTCTCCTCTCGTCCTTCTGAGGACTTTTGCTCTGGCTGTTTGTCCCTTTCCTAGACCAGCTCTCCGTACTTTCCCTTCGCCTCCTTTCTCTGTGAGAGGAGTCAGACTCCTCCTCCTCTGAAGCAGCCGATAAAGAGTACAGCTGATTGATCCGTCTGTCCTCCCCGTCCCTCCCCCTCCCCACCGCCTCGTCCTCGCCCCCCGCGGCGAACATGGGACCGTCTTTTTGGTTGAGAAAAGTGGCAGAGGTGTTGGGGGGTGCAGGGAACCACTCCACTTCATCCTCCTCCTTCTCCTTCGTGCTCTTCCTGCCCTTACCCTCCTCGCTCCTCCTGCGACGGCGCTTACTTCCGCGCTCGGACTTCCTGCGCTTTTTCTTCTTCTTCTTCCTGCGAGATGAGGACGACGAAGAGGAGGAGCTACTGGAGGAGGATGAAGAGGAAGAGGCTGATCGCTTACGCTTCTTCTTCATCCTAGAAATGATAAACGGTCTCCATCATAACCCTCCAGTTTGAACAAAAAAAGCTGTATTTATAAAYGCTAGACATCAGACAACGTACCTTTTCTCCTCTTTTAAGAGCTTACGTAATTTCTCAGCACTGGTCTGGCTGCTCGTTTCTTTGACCTGCTCCTTAGCAAGAGCTTCTTCTCGCAAGCGAATCGATTTCTTTACAGTCGCCAGAAAGACAAGGTAAAACGGCGGCACGCAGGCAAACGCCCACAAAATATTCAAAAACAGTCGGACCATAATTCAACATCGCAACAGACACCCAACAAACATTCGTTTATTCAATCRTTTGCATCAGAATCAGAAGGAATGAGGAGGAAAAACGTCGAAAAATTCAAGAKAAATTTAAGAAAAGATGGCACCCAAATTTTAAACAGATTACAGGAAGATGGAGAAATGAGTGCGAGTCATGTTTTTACCACAAAAAATTAGAAYAATTGATATAAAAGCAAGAGGGATGAACAGGCGTGCAAAATAATTCAGATTCAGCATTTGTTCACCAACGAGATGGAAAAGGTTTCAAAACATTACCGTGTTGGAAGCAGGGACACGGCACACACCAGTGTCCAGAGGAGGAGGAGCAGGCGGCGTCGTTTTTGCAAAAAGCAAAGTTTTGTTGTTGTTTTTTTTTTTTGGGTTTTTCAGTTTCAGAGCCGTGGCAGTYGGAAGGTCGAGGGCCAGAGTTTAGGGGTTGCAGACACAAAGACACCAAACACTTCGTCAGTATTACAAACCACAATCACAGGAACACAATCATGTCAGAATGGGAAAATTTAGTTTGAAAAAAAAAAAAAAAACAATATGCCAGCAATACTGCACTTAGGGGTGGGTACCGAATTCCATACTTTTATAAGTACAGACTGAAAATTCTGTCAGTACTACAGAGAACCTGTAACGTAAGAGTGGTGAGTTTTCCATGCTTGTCCTGAACGCAGCATCACGCAAAAGCGTAATGACGTCAGCAGCTGCTGGTTCAGTAAACAGAGCTCAGAACGTAGCTTGAATACGTTTTATTTATTCAACTCAATCCTCYTTTGCTTATTTGATTTAAAATTATTTGCCTTCCATGGACCCACATCACACAAGTTTTCTAATGGGATGAATACGTAAATATGTGGAGCTGGATTTTAATTTGTGCAACAAGACAAAACATGGTGTTAGTTGTGCTCAAGAGTTTTCAATTAGTTTGATGTTACAATACAAAGAGTTGGATGTTGTCTTGATATTTGTTAAATTTTATTTATTAAGAAATAAATATGTTAAATAAAAATAAATTACCGTATTTATTCATGTATAATACGATCTCATGTATAATACGACCCCCCCACACTTTTTTTGAGCTTAAAAAGCATAAAAATTTTAATCCTCAACTACCTCCAATTTCATACAGACTTCAAGACTTTTCAGCCTTTGCAGTCTTTATACATATCAGTAAAATGATCATTGGACTGTTCATTTTATTTTAGCAACATATGTACTAAAAGGTATTTTGATGTTTCATATGAATTCTGGCATTTTACACATAGTCCACCAGGAGGCGCCAACACAAAAGTCAGAGACTTCACATGAGATTTGGACCATCTTGTGGGGGAAAAGCAGATTACTTCCTACTCGCGAGCGCCCCCCTCTGGTGTAAAAACGTTTTTGAGGGATACAAACTTTTTCAGAACACCGGTAGACGGCAGCCATTACAGATGAACATGTTTGTTGTTGTTCCAGCAGCGGCCCGGTCACACGCTAATTAGTTCGTTATCATTACTAAGGTGCAGGACTGCTTTTTTTCCACATCATTTCGCCTCCTTGGATCTGTTATTATCTCGCTCTGAAGCACAGAGGACTGTCAGGTAAGCTTGCTTCAACTGCTTTTTACGTCGTGGTCTCATTTCCAGACTCAGGCATTTTGTGAATGAAGCAGATATTTTAGTTAAAATACATAAGTAAAAAAATATTTATCCGAGTATAATACTACCCCCCAACTTTATGGATGATTTTATGGATTAAATTTTACATATTATACTTGAATAAATACGGTAAGTTTATTATTAAAAGCAACACACAAAGTACCAAAAATTGGTACCATTGAGTAYTGATACCGAATCCCAGGTACCTGATATTGGTACCGAATCGATTCAAATGTCAAAAGGTACCCATCCCTAAATGCAGTACATGAAACTACAGACACTCTGAGCTTTATTGTATTATGATACATCGCACAAAAACTGCAAAATACAGAGAAATGACTAACTTTATGAAGACTGAATAAACTGTGAGATAGCCATTATTGTTAGACATTGTTTAAATAGTCAAGCCTAGAATGTGCATGACTGGTTTGGCAAATATCCTCATCAAGTGTGTGTGTGTGTGTGTGTGTGTGTGTGTGTGTGTGTGTGTGTGTGTGTGTGTGTGTGTGTGTGTGTGTGTGTGTGTGTGTGTGTTCTGGCCCGCTCACCTGTATTGTTTCGGTGATGTTGTGCATGGCCTCTTTTGCCTCAGGGTTTGAGTCATCAAGAGAAAGAGCTCTGCGGTACAATCCCTCCGCTGTGACCAGTTTTTCTTGTTCTTCCAGCCTAAACAAACAAACAAAAAAAAGAAAGTCTATTTAGTACATTTGCATTTATTTCCCAATTGAGCTGCTACATACCAATCACTGCAACAAGGAACTTTTTCTTACAAAAAACAAGAAAAACCTTCCTCAACCTGTCGATCCAAAAGTTTCCGTTCTTGGCCCAATACCAAATGTGAAGCAAAAATGTTATTTTGCCGGTGTCTGTGTTTGTTTCTTTGTCTGTAGCGTTAGCAAAATGTCACAAACCACTGAACAAATCTGCCGCCCCAGCTGACCCAACTTTAACTCAGCTGCTGCCCTAAATTTAGTGTGATATTAGCTGAGTGTCTACATTCCCCCGAGAGACACCTCGCAACATCGCATGAGTTTGACCAAAACGTAAACAAAGTTACCAGAACAGCAAGATTTATTTCAGGGTGTATTTTCATCAATAAAATGCAGATCAACAAGGTTGAAACCAGTCAAAGAAAACACAGACTAAATTCATCACAATGTGACACTTCAGTGGCATAAAGCCTTTGATAACATTTACCGTAATTRCAGATTATCGCTGACTCCACTCTTTCTAAAGATAAAAAGAATTCACAACCAGTACAACCAGTATGTCAATATGCAGCTGGGAAATRTGTTGGTAATAAATTCCTCTGCATTCCTGTGCTACATTAGCTCGTGCAGACATAACTGTTTTGTCGACCTCAATTCCAGTCAAAGCTGGGAACTTTTTTAAATACAACGGTGGTGGTTAGTTGAAATTGTTCTTGTATGAAGTATATTTCATARAAACTTAAGGGACGATCATGCTCCATCTGAAGCGCGGTCACGTGGTTSYTCRACGTTCRTTTTCACACACACCTTCCTAAGCCCCTGAGACACACYGCGACAAACTTCAGGGAAACCCCGCCCACTGTGGTATGTCACCACACGRGGTTCCTGCTGGAGTCTATGCTTGGGGTTGGGGCGGGGGGTACCTGACACTGTTAGTCTACAAATCCGTCCCGGTTAAAGCTCCACACTTTTCTGCAGACCAATTACGTCGTGCAAAACGTCTCTTTTATCGCCATCCATTAGTTTCTGGCCACTTCACTATTCTTAGTAAAATGCACAGGAATTCAGTGGTGTTGTATGTAAGATGCATTGGGTTGTCCCAGCATTAGAATACAGAGCTGATAATAGGCTTGTCTTTATTTATTTTAATGTTCTACCTGATGAGGCTGAGAAGGGTGTGAGCAGTACGTCAGAGTGTGTGGGTTCAGTATTTGCTCATAGTTCAGAAAAGGTACATTGTTCCAAAGTTGTACTTTGTGAAACAGCTACATCTAAGTAGGGTTGGGCGGTATATGCGGTAGACCAGAGGAGCCCAAAGTGGGGCCCGCGGGCCAAATTTGGCCCACCAAGCCATTTGATTTGGCCCACCAACAGTTGCCAAAGTTACAAGCTTGTAACCTGTTATCCTATGTAGAAACACAGTATTTCCATTGGTCAAATGACTATATAAAAGGGCTGTAGTGAAGGTAGYTTTCATTCATGGTGCTGACTTTATCTTTGATTTATTAGGATTAAACATGAAACATGAAATGACAACAAGAAATATTTAGTTCAGATTTAACCCCACATGTAGATTCATGCACTTTTTAAGGCCACAAAAACCTCATATTTTATCAATTTATGAAATATCCCATGAGCCTTTGCTACTTGAGAGTATGGCAGACTTTCTCCAAGTGCACAGACTAAAACAAAAGAGGGCCATTGCATAGCATAAACTTTAAAAATAAAGGACTTTACTTACAAAAGTATTTGTATTTCATGTATTATATTACTGCATTTTGTCCGCAGCCCTAGATAGATTTTCATTTTGGCCCTCTCGGGGAAAATGTTTGGGCACCCTTGCGGTAGACGGTAGAAACGGTACGAAGTTAGCCTACGATAGAAATTTATACTCTACCGTCCTATCGTCATTACATCATCGCACCTGTGTGAACAGGGCTGCAAGTGCAGAGACAACTGAGCAGGAGTTCGAAATTTAATGAAGAAATTCTAGTGTTTTAAAACACGTATAGAGAGAACAAATCCTCAAAATTTCCTCCTCCCGCTATAGAAAAGTTACGTACGTCGTGTCGCGGGATCATTTCCTCCTCCCTCCCTCTCCTCTCCTCCCGCTGCACATCTCGCAGAGCGAAGCTTTAACAACTGACCTTTTTCACACCCAATTGTCGGAGAAAAAAACTTGTTTTTTATGTATTGTTACCCACAGAGATGATTTTAAAAAAAAGACATGGACATTCGTTCAGTCATAACTCCATCTTGCTAATGTAAAGTCGGCTTCTGCTCTGATAATGATGATGAGCGGCAGCAGATTAGCAGCTGATCAGTTCAGCAGGCAGAAGCTCCTTGTTTGGCAGGCAGATATTAAAGCAAAAACTTTGGGTTTAATTAAGAATACAGTTTTCTGCAAAAACAAAGGCTCTAAAAATTACATTATCTTTACTTTTTATGATAATTCTCTACCGTGATATATACCGTTACCGTGAAGGGGTTCAATTCATACCGTGATATGAATTTGAGGTCATACCACCCAGCCCTAGGTTGGGCGATATTAACAAAAAAATAATTATGATAACAATTAATTGCTGTATTTAGCCGACAACAAATAACATGACGATTAATCCCTGGAGTCCCTGGACGCCTGCGTGTCCTAGTCACATGACCGATTTAAATCACTCTAGTGGGAAAGATTTGCTCTCTGTAAAAATCTGTTCCACCTTGCGTCAAAAGTACAGACTTCAGGCTGTACATCAGTTTTTAAATTGTGTTGATAGACCAAATAAAACTGGAGTTATGATAAATAAATTACGAAACTTAAAAAAAAATGTTTGTCTTTTTTTTTTTTATTTTACTGTTATTTTACCAGGCAAATCCCATTGAGATGGCAGATCTCTTTTTAAAGGGTGGCCTGGGCCTGAAGGCAACCTATTGTACATGTTTTTGTGTTGTGGGGGAAACCGGAGTACCCGGAGAAAACCCACGCAAGCACGAGGAGAACATGCAAACTCTGCACAGAAAGACCCCAGGTCCGAACCGGGGATTGAACCCAGGACCTTCTTGCTGTGAGGCGTCGGTGCTAACCACTGAGCCGTCGTGCCGCCTGTCATATTTGAAGCAGAGAGGAGCACCGAGCCGACTGACGGGAAATCTCCWGTCAGTCTGCCTGGTGGCRTTAATCGAAATAATCGTCAAGTGCCAAAACAAATAATTAAAAATTGATTAAAGTTTTTCTGACGATACGATTTTGCCCAACCCTGCTTCTAAGTAAACTTCAAACTGAGCTGGGGGGGACTTACAGCTGGGAGATAATTCCAGACGCACTAACCACAGTAGATTTGAATCCCTAATGTGTCCCTTTGTCCAATAAAGACTTTTATTTAGTTTTGCTTTGCACTGTAGTTCGAAATATTTACCAGAAAGTAGTGCTGGGYGGTATACCGTTTTATACCAAAAACCGGTTTTTATTTTTGTTATATGACTTTTCTGAATACTGGTGTAAATAGACTGAACACGTGTGGAACGTTTCGTCGCGGCCGCCAGTGAATTGTTTCCCTGGGGACACGTTTCCTCGCAGCACCGCTAAGCGCATTAGCCTGCTAACGTTATTGTTGGAACAACTGGCGGCAGGTGGTGTGTTTCAGCAGATTATATGGTCTGACATAAAAAAAACCATCCCGTTTTCACCATCGCTGAATAGTAAACAACTCTTCAGTGTCGTGCACGGTTAGATTTAACGCGCTACTTTATAATGGAGACATTATTGCATGGAGACTCTAACATGCTTCTATTGTGAAAAGCCCAGGGGGGAGTAGTTTTGTAGTGTAGCAGAGTTGACTGGTGTGTAAGGTGAGTCGTCATTTTAAGTTTTTTAACACGTAATGATAGACCAGATAATGATTTTTTCTCAACCCTTCATGGTCGGACCTAAATGCATGATTACTGTCTGCAACCAGGCAAAGACGAAAAGATGTACAAGAGGAGGGAAACAGTGATACAGAGGTACAGTAAAAGAAAAAAGTATATAAACAAAGTTTGTAGGCCCACATTTTATTATAAGCTGAGCTGTGAGGGAAAAAAATACCGTCAAATACCGTGAAACCGGTGTAATTGTTGAAAATACCTTGATATAAAATTTGGGTCATACCGCCCAGCTCTACCAAAAAGTAAACTGGGTGCCATGAAAATGACATGTAACTTCAAAACAAAAGTATTTAACGTGGGGACAGGTGAGTTGAACAGTGCACTGCTTACTGTTTTCCTTGTTCCACAAGAGTCTGGCAGAGGTACTTCTTGGCATTTCGGTGATCTGGACAATTTTCCAGAGCCAGTTCAAAGTCTGATATAGCCTTCATGATGCTGCCTTTGTTGGCGTACCTGTGAGGAAAGAACAAACCTGAATAACTCTGCTTGTTTAAACTGCATTAAACATGTTCTTACAATGTGAGATGCAACATAAGTAAGACTTCAATCAACTAAAAAAGGTGTAAAACTAAAAGAAGTGAATTCCAAGACAAACAGCAAAGAGGGCCAGCGAACCATAAAAACAAGACAGGTGTCATAGCCTGAATATTCTTCCTCATACTTTATATTGCTATGAGGAAGTTGTTTTAAATTGATCTTATTTAAGATGTTAAACTCACAGAGCTCCTCGCGCCACCAGTGCCTCCACGTTATTAAGGTCAATGTCCAAGGCTTTGTTGTATTCATTCATGGCCTCCACATGTCGGCCATGTTTGAAGTGATCGACACCTGCACGGACACTGAAAGAGGAACAACTAGACGTCATTAAGGGGCACTATTTTCTTTATTTTCTTTATTTCCTGTGGCAAAAGGTAATAGCTCATCATTACCACTTTAAAGCCCAAGATGCAGACTGTTTCTTCCTGATTACAGAAGCAAAATCCCCTTCTTGAAAGAGTTTACTGTGAAGAAAAGAGGCAGAAGTATGAGATCTTTAAAGATTACAGGCTTCTAATTCCTCAACAACAATGTTCAAGTATAGCTCCAAGGCAGAAGTGTGACAATCTTAACTCCAAGCAAACTTGTTTTTGTCTTTGTTTGATTTGCATTAGCAAAAAAAAAAAAAAAAAAAACTGAGTTGTTGACAACACATCCCTGCTTTCTACTTCATTTTCAAATGTGAAGAATTGTTGTGGAGAAAAAGAAAACAAAATGAGGGGCTGACATTCTAACCATTGCAGTCCTCGCATCATGGAAGGCGGATGTGTGTCGCTGATTCCCACCTTCTCCAGAAGGTATTCTACCACCGAGGGGTTTTCATAGCCGTGGCACCTCGTCAGTATACACCCGTACGTCTCACTGGAGTCAGAAGCTGCGCTAACGCTGCGACTGAGAAGACAATGTTAAAGACCAGAACACAAACTGAAAGTCAAAAAAATCAGTCAAATGCTTAAAAACAATATATACTTTCCAGTTTTATTAGTTCAGCTCAGAGGTTTATAGTAAATAAGTACATTTAATTTGTTACAGTGCTTAAGTAGTTTTTATGAGGATTTGTAACTTTATCAATTACTTTTTTAAACAGTTACTTCTACTTTTATTTTAAAGCTAAAAATGATACTTTTACTTCTTTACTTTAAAATGTAACACCTAGTTGCTCATTACAAAGTTAAATATGTTCGAACTCATCATGAAAGAAGATGTTTCTGCTCTCTAAAAAATGAAGTGTTGAATTTACTCAAGTCGTGTCAACTGGCTCCACTAAGCCTAGTGGAGTAAACTGAGCAAAGAAAATACACATATTGCTCAATTTACTCAACCTGGTTTAGAGGAACCAGTTTGGTTCAGTAAATTCAGCAGTTTATTTATTAGAGTGTGTAAAAGTACTTTTACTTTCCCAATTTTTGTGACTAGTTTTATGACTTTTACTTGAGTAGTTTTCTCATCAGTGAAATGTTTTTTTTTATCAAAGTCATTTTCTGTTCATGTAATTTTACTTTTACTTAATTTTTTTTCCAAGTACTTTATAGACCTCTGGTTCAGCTTACATCTAGAAGCAAATTAGAGGCTTATTTTAAAAGATAAACATTATCTGGACCACTTGTTTTAAAGAAAAAATAATACCATATGATATGTTTTTACATTTAAATATTAAGTTTCAGGCTTAAATTTCAACATACTTGACAAAAGACCAGTTTGTATTCGAGGATCCAACTGCAAGTAATGGTAGCAGCGAGAGTCAACATTACATGTAGGATTTACTAGCTCATTTATATTGTTTAATATAATGCATCTGGCACAGTTCAGTCACTGAGTGAGTTACCTGTAGTGTATTGGCAGCTCTTCACGAGTAATGACACCCAGTTTGATGTGCTCCAAGCTGGAAGAAAGACAGGCCTGATGGAGGGACACTGTGATCTTTTCCTGGTACCGGTCGATGTCTTTCACTCCCCCTGTAGAACAAAAAATAAATAAAAACATAGATTAACATTAATAAAAATGCTCCTTTGATTTCATGAGCCTAAATTAGCCTGGCCCTTGTCTTCTGACAGTTACACTCAATTTTAGTTTCTCTGCTCTGCTCCGTCTGGGATTTCTCCCATAGACAAGGATTTCTCCGGTAGAATTTCAACCGGACCAATCAGCGAACAGGAGGCGGAGTTGTGAACAACGATGTCGATTTTCTGCGCCGTTTTTAGTTTGCCTGTAGTTTAGCGAACGTTGTCACTGCCCGATCCGAACCATCAGCTCATTTGCACATATGCTAAAAGATACTTTTGGATTACCGGTTAATGCGCTCGATTTAGGACAAAATACTGGAAATTATTTCCATTCTTAATATTAAAAGATGTGCTAAATTATATTCTGAAGAATGTCATATACATTTGGATATTAATAAAATATAGATTTACGATGTGTACATATTCATTTATATGAACTTGCGAACTTAAATGGATTATAATTCAGCTCATCTCCGTTTTGTCATTTTCCTGGAATAAAAATCTGTTGCAAACGTTGCCTTTTCTATGAAACATTGCAGGTGACRAAAGACTGAAATTGAATCCATTCTGTCTTCAAGCAGTGTCTCAAAATGCTACATGCCAAATCAAACAAAGCCGTCTCGGCTGTTTCTTTTAGTGCATGCGTGAATGAGCTGACGGTAYGGACCATGCAGTGACAGAGCTGGCGCACTGCATACGTCACGGCCAAATGTTAGCGATTGGGTAAAATCAGATCCAATCGTTTTAAACTTCAGAGTCCACGCCTCCAGCAAGAAGTCGTTTCTCAATAGCCGAGAGTCCAGACCCTCTGTACGAAGGAAAGAGAAGAACAAGAGGCTGGTTTTTACCAGGCTGGGTCTAAAAGGAATTTAAAAAATGTAAAAGACATATTTGCAATGATAAAATCATGGTCTGTCTGCACAATAACAACATGGATTAGGGACTAAAACTGCCACAGAGTCAGCCATTTTGTTCTTAATCATTTTATGTTTAGATAAAATATAACAAAACATAAAACCAAAAGACACAACGGGCCTCATGCAAGAACTGTTTATACACACAGATTTGTTCTTAAATTGTGCGTACGAGTGATTTAGGAGAATTTGTGGCATTCACCAATGTTTTCGTATTCTAAGACTTTTTTCAGATACAAACAAAATTCACGAGTGGTCCAGACCTGTCGTATATTTTACGAGCAGTCAGTCTGCTGTTATCCAGACGGGTTTTC